AGGCCCACCCCCCAGTCCCCACTGCCCCCTACAATGGGGGGGGGCCCCCACACCACAAGGGGGGCCCACCCTACATCACCAAGGGGGGGCAAATTGCACCACATAGAGAGCCCAGCCCTCAACCCAGGGGTAAGCCCACACTATGTAACAAGGGCGCGCTCACCCTGCTGCGACGCACTCCAAAGGGAGGAACCCCATCTTCAGTCCATTCACATCCATCCCCCATCATTTCACCATGCACCACAGGATAACGAGACGCCGCCTGGTCAGTGGCCGGACTCAGCCACACAATGGAGGAAGCTGGCAAGGCGGGTGGTAGCGGCCACGTCGGGAACCTCGGTCCTGGTCGGTGAAATCGCGGGAGTGTCGGCACGTATCTTGGTGGATACGGGGGCATCAGCCACGATCATCTCGAGCACCATGCACGAGATGCTGCCGGATAAAATCCGACCTTTAGTCCCTGTCAAGACAACGTTCATTGCAGCAAATGGAGGCAGCATGGGCTTCCTGGGCCAGGTTGAAGCCCCGATACAGATTGGGCAGCTCTCGGTAGCAGGACCCATCCTTGTCTCCGCAACGTTGCCCGTACCCTGCCTGTTGGGGACGGACTTTCTGAGGCGGATGCCAATGAAAATCGATCTGGCCAATGGGCGGGTGGAAGTCCAGGGAACCCATCTCCATTTCCTAAAGGCGGAGGGGGCCAGCCGGGGTGTACCCTACGTGCAGGCTCTGGTCAGTAAGTCTGTCTCCATTCCCCCGGCAGCCCAGATGCTGATTCCGCTGCAATATCGGTCTCCCCTCGTGACAGCCCGACCAGACTCACCCATCCTGGTGTCTCCGGCGTCAGCTGCCATGGATCGCCATGCGCTGGTGGGAGCCGAAACTATTGTACAGAGGAACCAGCATCTGTTCATTCAGGTGCTGAACACCTCCGATAGAACAGCGACGGTGCAGGAGGGAACAGTTCTGGCCCACGTTAGTCCCTTGTCACTAGGAGCCCCAGGGACAAAGCCTGAGCTTGTAGGCAGCATCAGCCAGTCCGAGGACAGAGGGGCCGAATCGTGGATGGACCAGCTGGCGGGGCCTGAGCCGGGATTGCCGCCCGACCAGAAACAGCAGCTGCACTCGTTATTGCATGAGTTCTCGGACGTGTTCAGCCGGGGACCGTTCGACCTAGGGCGCACAAATCTGTCGCAGCACCACATTAACACGGGAGATGCCGCACCCCTGCGCCAAAACACATATAGAATGAGCCCAATGGAAAAAGGGCACATTCAACAAGCGGTGCAGGAGATGCTGCGGGCCGACATAATTTCTCCATCCTCGAGTCCCTGGGGGGCACCGGTGGTCCTAGTCAAGAAGTCAGACGGGTCACTGAGATTCTGTGTGGACTTCCGACGCCTCAATGCCGTCACGCTGGCCGACGCATATCCCCTACCACGTATTGACGACTCATTGGATGCACTGGCGGGAGCAAAATTTTTCAGTACGTTGGATTTATTGTCCGGGTTCTGGCAGGTCCCACTAGACGCGGACTCCCGGCCTAAAACAGCGTTCCGGACACCACAGGGCCTGTTCGAGTTCAACTGCCTGCCTATGGGCCTCCAGACTGCGCCGGCGACGTTCCAACGCATAATGGAGTTGGCCTTAGCAGGCCTCCAATGGGAAACGTGCCTCATCTACCTGGATGACGTCATTGTCTTCAGCCGATCATTCGAGGAACACATTGACCGATTACGTCAGGTATTCCTGCGGTTCCGGAACGCGAACTTGAAGCTCAAGCCGTCGAAGTGCCACCTTATGCAGTCGTCGGTACGCTACTTGGGCCACGTCGTCAGTGAGTCTGGAGTGGCTACAGACCCGGAAAAGACGGCCTGCGTGAGGGCCTGGGCTGTTCCCACAACGGTTCCAGAGGTACGCCGGTTTGTGGGTTTCGTTTCTTATTACCGCCGGTTCGTACCCAACTTCGCAACCATTGCCAAGCCCTTGCACGTGTTGACGGCGAAGAACCAGAGGTTTTATTGGGGCCCTCTGGAGGAAGAGGCATTCCAGCAGCTGCGCTCACGTCTGACAGATGCACCACCATTGGCCTTTCCGGATTTTGGCCTCCCCTTTATCCTGGACACGGACGCCAGCGATGTGGGCATCGGCAGTGTTTTGTCGCAAGTCCAGCAGGGTCGCGAGGTGGTTATCGCCTATGGTAGTCGCGTGCTTTCATCAGCGGAGCAGCGCTACTGCGTCACACGTAGGGAACTCCTGGCAGTCGTTCACTTCGTGCAGCAATTTCGACCCTACCTGTATGGTCGCAAATTTACGGTCCGCACTGACCACGCGGCCTTGCAGTATTCGCTCCGCATCGACCAGCCTTCGGGCCAGCTGGCCAGATGGATAGAGCGCCTGCAGGAGTACAGGTACCAAGTAGTGCATCGCAAAGGGACCCGACATGCCAACGCAGACGCATTGTCCCGACTGGCGCCCCAGGGCCCGTGTGCATGCACCACAGGCGGGGCACGCTGCAAGGAGGCGAGCCCGGAGGGGACAGTCATCGCTCCCGTACGCACGGCGGAGGATGCACAGGGTGAGGTCCAGCTGACCGACCACGACCTGGGGCTGACCTTGGACGATTGGCGACGGCTACAGCTGGAGGAAGCCCCACTGCGAACGCTACGCGCCTCAGCAGAGGCAGGGGGGGAGGAGTACATCGTATGGGAGGACCTCCTCATGCGATGGGACCCGACAGGGCGCCGACGATGCCTGGTAGTTCCGGAGTCGCTGCGTCAACAATTGGTTATGGACGTACACGGCCGCCAGCTGCTGCACCTGGCGGGGCGGAAGACACTGTACACATTACAGAGTCGGTACTTTTGGCCAGGTATGACCGCTGACGTGCATGGATGGGTCGCTACCTGCGTCGAATGTGGGCGGCGAAAGCCGCCACCCCGGGTAAGCCGGGCGCCCCTACAGCCCATCACGGTGACCAGGGTCAACGAATTGGTTGCGTTGGACATCCTGGGACCACTGCCGGTCACGCCACGGGGAAATAAATACCTGTTGGTCGGAGTCGAGTACTGCACGAGGTGGCCAATGGCGTGGGCCCTCCCGGATCAAACGGCACAGACCATCGCCGATGCCTTCGTGGGAGGCTATGTCCTTGATAAGGGGGCACCGGAGCGGTTGCTCACGGATCAGGGCAGGAATTTCTCCTCACAGCTATTGAAGGATGTCTGCTCTATCCTGGGCACTAAAAAGGTCCGAACATCTCCGTATCATCCCCAGACCGATGGGATGGTAGAGCGGCTTAACCGCACCATAGCGGCCATGCTGTCCCAAGTGGTGGACGAAAACCATTCCGACTGGGACCTCCACATTCCATCTGTCTTAGCGGCGTACAGGGTGGCCCCACACGCGGCGACGGGGTTCTCGCCGTTTTTCCTGATGTACGGACGGGATCCCGTTCCGCCTATTGAGGTGCAGCTGACGGACATTCCCGCAAGAGCCGACGCATGGCCGAAGGCACTAAAGACCTCCCTCATTTATTTGAGAGAGGCCCGCCAAGCAGCCGAGGCCGCATCGGCCACGAGCCAAGAGAGTAATGTACGGATACGGGAGAGGACAGTGACAGCCAAGCCCTTTAAAGTCGGGGACCAGGCATGGCTACACTGTCCTCAGGTGCCGGTTGGCCTCTCACCAAAGCTGCACCGACCCTGGAAAGGGCCAGTCGAGGTCATTAAAGCACTCCGACCGCAGTGCGTCCAGGTACAACTGGGTAAGCGACGATGGTTTGTACACCCCACCCGCCTTAAGCCATACATCTCTCCACCGTCATCTTCACCAACATCACCACCAACATCACTGCCAACATCATCATCATCCCTACCCAGGCCAAGGTCGCCGGCAGGGGGTTCGGTGCCCTGTGTTCCGTTGTCACCTACAGCACCCCATGTGAGGCCTGACGGAGCGGCAGCACGAGCGGGGGCCGGAGAGACAGCGGCGCCAGGCAAGGCGACACCGGCACCACCGAACCAGGGACCGCGACGAGAGGGCCTTCGAAGGAGGGGGCCGCCACGGTCATCTGCTGCCTGTGGATGTCCGGGCTGTTACGGGATGCTGGCTGGAGACCTGGGCAGGCCGCGCAATTGATTTCGTTGTGTTATGTTGCATTGTATGGTTCTGGGGGGGGGGTAAGGGCTGTCGTCACTGTCAGTGGTGGGAGGCATGGGGAGATTTAAATGGTCCATGGGGGAGGCAGAACCGAGGACGGTTATTTTTTCTCCGGGGGGGGGGGGGGGGGGGGTGATGTAGGGGTGTCAGGGGAAGGATTCCCACCAATAGATGGGTTAGTGGGAGGGGTGATCGAGGAGATATAAGGAGAGAACGGGCGGGAAGAAGGGGCCTTTGGCGGGAACGATATTGGGACGGCTGGGGGACAGGTGTGGATGGAAGGAAAGGAATAAAGGACGAGACCCCTGCAATCTGGTGTCGGCTCCTACTTTACATTATAATTTGACTGTAATACTTTTAGGATGTGAAAACAAAATATTCTGACATTGGGTGTAATTAATATCAATATGATGTCGTGCGTTCATGGAATTGTCATTATTTTATGTGGGCAAAGACCAGTCCAGTTATAGGACAGCCATTGGGGCCTTGAGCGACGATGGGCTGAATGGTCCAGCCAGCTAGGACTTAATGAACCCGTCTCTCCAATTGTTAAACACTGACAACAGCACTAAATTACATAATATAGTGAAAATATGCCTACGTACATATTACGATAATAATTATGAGAGTATTTTCCCCTCTTAAGTTTACGTCGAGTTGTCACAAATAGAAAACGTAAATCACAATGCAAAGTTTATATCGACGTTTAGGTCCATGAAGGTTAACATGCTATGGCCAAAGCTACTAATGCCATGTCGAGTACAGCGTGTGAAAGGTTTAAATCAGAAATGCACAGGCACGTGTTATCACAACAGCTAAAAAGGCCACAAAAGAACCTCTTATTGCACACAAACGTTTTCCCTGTGCAGTACAGCATGTGCTGACTGCTGTTTGATAGATGACGTCTCAGATACGAATGTGAGAATGATGTCCGATGAGGAGATTTCGGTGGCATCGTTGTGCCTCCAATCATCTTGCCTGCCTGGGCTTGTGGACACCCTTGGAATGTGTGTGGAGCAATTACGACGGTCCAGACACCGAAGGTCATGCTGGCGCTTCCGCAGACGCACGGGAAACATCCACGATGTCTTTATCCCCAACCTGTGTGTACAAGAGAAGGGTGATGGAAAATGATAGTTACAGAATCACTTACATGCATTTCCACTCCCAACAGTCAGTGTGAAAAATAAGAGGGATTTGTCATTGGGCATATTTCATAAATTGTCCTCACTCGGCTACAGTCAAAATTTTATTTAGACCCGAATGGGAAGTCAAGTGATTCCAGAAATGATGGCATCAACTGGGTCTGGATATAAGCCACGTCGTTGTGCCATTAACTTATTTGTGAATCCATTGAATACACTTTTGACACAATGTGATTATCTCCTGTAAGAGCTGTGACCAGAACTGAAACCATTAAATGTACGTACTGCGTATGTATGTGCATGCAGCGTTTTAGATGAGTTACATGCTGTAAAATATATTACATATGCCTGCACAATTTGAGTCTACGTCATGAAGAAAAAAAACTAAATGATTTTTAAGTGGGGGCATTGGGCCTGCTGAAACACTTTCTGGATGGGTTGGTACATGTGAGGGGAATAACATAAAAAAAGAGAAATTTCACATTAATTGGAAATATGCTATTAGATGGGAATTTTGCAATACCAGACTACATTGACATTAATCAGCTGATACACCTTCCCTTCAGCTTGATGTCGCATTCCATATTTTCAAACGATTTGATCCTGAATGGGCTGTACTTGTTGCTATTAGAAATATGACTCAAATGCTGGACAATTTTGGCTCAAGGCACCAATTAAATATTTATGTTGGCACGTGTCATTACATGAGAGTAAATACACATAAATAGTGTATGCACCATGTTATTTGATCATATGCCAGTAGTCAGTTGTGCATGAATTATTTTATGTATATTGCAGGTGTGAAAGTGACTTAACAGCAAATGATTCAAATATATGTTTGTAAACAAGCTGAGAATAAAATACCATTTCGTTACTTCATACATTTTAAAATAGATATACTTTTTGGATAAATTCATTAATCAAACACTTCCTCTTCATCAGGGGACCTCCTTTGCCAGTACCAAAATATGAGAATAGGTTTTTTTCCCTTTTTTTCTGGCAACAAAACAGGTGTTAAGATGTTAAAACACCAAACTAAAACCTTTTACAAGTACTCTTTAGTTATTTCGGTAAAGTCACGTAGGTAGAAAAATTACATAAAAAAAGAATATATCACAACGTTTCGATTGCAACACAAGCGGTCGTCCTCAGTCGGAAAAAACAATCCAGCAGTGGAACTGCTGAACCACAATGCTTATGGTCAGAATGCAAACCAAAAACATACTCTGATAATGTATACATTGTCTTTGAAACTAATTGGTCCACACCAGAGACAGATTTCTTCTGAGCCTCGTCTCAAACGGTGTTAGACCAGAGGACACTTCCTCTATGAGCACAACTGTTTGTGAGCATGTTTTATCGTGCATGACTATTCACATTTTGACCATCCATAACCAATCTCAATACCTTTGTTAATTTCTAAGCATGGGTTTCATCTACTGTGAAGTGTGTATTTTCCTTGTGAGAATGTAAATGTACACTACATTACCTCCTACAAAAAGTCAAGTTGAGACAATTATCTTTACGACGACTCTTTTCTGAACTATTCCCCACAGCAAGTAATTACTCTTATTCACCTAATAAACCTTGACAACAGCAGCAGCTCATATGTCGGTATATCATCATTACAGGATGCACATGCCTGTCTTGGATTGAGAATTAAGTGATGGGCCCATGTCTTATCGCATGGGTTTACACTCATGAGTTGTAGAAGCTGTTGCAAATGATGCAGATTAAATAAAAAGGGGAGAGTTGTTTAATGTTATTATTGCAGCTATTTAAGGATGCAGATCAGGAAGCCCATTAGCCTGAGGTCTGAGTTATTGTTAATATCTGATGATGTTGAATGTAATCTCCAGCGAAATGTATATTAATTGTCAAATTTTGCTTGCATTTTCAAGTGGCACATATGTCCAGGTGACATCTTGATTTGTTTGGCTGTCAGTTGGTGTAGGGTGAATCTCTCTAATTTACATTATTCCTACACGAACTAACCCAATGAAGGGTTAACTGTTAAATACTTGAATACAGTATGAATAACAGTAACCAGAAGAGCCTCATTTTTTTTCATAATGGTTTCATAATGGTCCTAATCTCGGATATTTAACTCACTCATTTAGCGAATGTAACGATGTACCAGTGCATTTATTTTATTGATATTTATGCTCACATTACACCCATGAATTACAATTGGAATACATATCTTAAAATTTGTAGTTATACGTAAATGGGTTCACGTGACCCGTGCAGCAACGTGTGGCTGTGAATACGTAAATATTTGCTTGCATGTGATTTAAAACAGGTTTTTTTAAGAATAGGGTTTTCCCCTTTTTCTGGCAACAAAACTGAAACCTTTTACAAGGAATCATGTCTGCATTAACCACAATGCTTGTGGTCCGAATGCAAACAAAAAACATACTCTGATAATATATACATTGTCCTTGAAACTGATTGGTCCACACCAGAGACACCTTTCTTTTGAGCCTCGTTTCAAACGGTGTTAGACCAGAGGACGCCAAAATGCATGCACCCCAAAGACAATGCACTATCAGAGTAATGAGAGCTCGGGTGAGCATTTTCATCATGGGATCTCCTTTGTCAGTACCAAAATATGATAATAGGCTTTTTCCCCTTTTTTCTGGCTACAAAACTGAGACCTTTTTACAAGAAATCATGTCTGCATTAACCACAATACGTGTGGTCAGAATACAAACAAAAGCCACACTCTGATAATATATGCATTGTCAGTTTAACACGTAGGCTTTCGCGACCAATATTATTCCGCTACACTACCGCTCCCATCACTTGCACAAACAGCCTGTTGGGGGAAGTGGTGTCGTTTGGTGTGTGTGTGTCTTTGTGTAATAAACCTCTTGGAGACAGCTTGTGGAATCGGTTCTTTTATTTCACTTCTTCAGTTCACAAACACTCCCCGTTGCTGGCAGGCAACGGGAAGCGGGCAGACAGCCCACAAGAGACGCACCACCACGTGGCACCCGGAGCCCCACTCGCGCGTGGCCCCTCTCTCTCTTCGTTCTGATCTCTCCCCTTATTTAACGCCTGGGTCACGTGGTACACTTGTGGCACATTAGGAATGGATCACTCTTTTAAGTATGTCCTTGTGCAGCAAGGGAGTAAAGTGTGGTTCTGTGAAAGTCCTGATGTGCTGTGCAATGCATCAATGCATGTGTGTACAGCAGCATGTGATGACTGAGTCGGGCCTGTAGGTGGCTGGCAGGGTTAATGAATAACCGCGCGGATATACCAGTCACATGGTTAATGGCGACGCGGGCGCAAGGCTGGTTGTAACACACGTGTTGTTGCATTTGACAGGTAAAGGACCCAAAGGTTGTTTTTGATCGTTATATAAATGTTCTAGACTTGTTCTAGACTTGTTCTAGACTTGTTATAGACTTTAAGCCTTTACTTTGAATTGTTCGTTTGTGATATATGCAATTAGAGGCGTTTTAGCACTGTGCATTGTAAAGGGATGACGCACTCTAATTAGTTACTGTCATTGTAATTCTCTAACTCTAATACTGTTTAGTCTATAACCATGCCCATGTACCCAGAATATGACTACTTGCAATGCTATTGAGAATAGAACACATGTAAAGTAGTAAGCTGTACAATGGTGATATACAGTACGTATACTGTACACATACAGTACATATAATGGGTGTAAGATACCGATATAAGTGGATAGTATAGATAGACATACAGCTTAGAATTAACGTAATAGTCGAATAGTGATGTGCAAATGTGATTGTCAAAGACAAAGATAGTTTATCAGTAGTAGAATTGGGTTTAAGAGAAAGGGTTAATGAATAACCGTACGTATATACCAGTCACATGGTTAATGGCGACTCGGGCGCAAGGCTGGTTGTAACACACGTGTTGTTGCATTTGACAGACTGACGGTGCTGTTCTTCCCAAGATTAATATTAACTACAATAAATAAATGTGCTTGCTCTCAATTTGGAGCACCTGCCCACGTCCTTCATTTCGAGTGTGCAACACACTCCAGCCAATCCTTAATAGCCTGCCCCGAATGTTCCAGATTCCCCATCAACTCCCGGGACCACGCCCCTTACTTGTCTTCCCATTGGCTGAGGCCAAGACCAGCAGAACCAATCACCCTAGCTGACATCCCGTGATCACGCCGAGGCCATGCTCCCAGGCTCTCCCCCCATTGGCTGTAAAACGGGACCGGCAGAGCCGATCACCACGTGAGCCGGACATAGGCTCTTATTACATCTGTGTGCTTGGGGAGCCGTAGTGTAGCGGTTAGCACGCTGCGCTACGAACCCGGCGATCTGTGTTAGATTTCAGCTCACAGCCAACACCAGTGACAATTATCTGAACCAGTCATGGGCCTCCTCTAGGTCGACTAAGCCTCAAATGAGTGCCTGGTGAGGTGTGTAAAAATATCGTCACAGGAGAGACAAGGCAGCCGGACGTGGTGATGGCCACCTGTCCCCTCATGAGCCCTGCCGGCCTTCATAGGTGCTCACTAACAGCACTTGTATTTGTTGGCTTCGGAACAGACCCCCTTCGTAAATCGGGGACTGCCCAAATCCTCGTAGAAGTTCTGTGGGTTCCTGCTAGTTCTAAATAATTCCTGTTTAATGTTTGGTTTGATATAGGGTGCCCCGTGTGTGTGCAATTATGGATGACTCATTGCCCCCCTTCCCACGACAAGCTAGCATCAGGACTCAAAGTAAGTGAAAATAAATACTGTTTTTTTAATGTTACTTTACGTTTTATTTACTATATAGTATTTGTTTAGTGTTACATGCAAATGTACAATATTTCTAGTTATGAGTTTAACAATGGTAATTTTTTGCTGTTGAACCATAACACATTTCATTATACTGACCGTATGGGCATTTAAATACAATTCATTAGTGGTCCCACTTAGGAACCGTTCGACTTATGAACGGGTCTTAGGAACTA